TAAATAATACATATAAATAAAAATTATAAAAATAAAAAAGAATAAAATAAATTGCATAAATAAAATAATGTTAAATATTTTGCATCAATAAATTAAACGCTTTTTTATTGCATATTTCTAATTTCTATAATAAAAAATGCATCATTTATTTCATCATTATTTTCATCATTTATTATCTCATTTTGAATTATTCATTTTTATCTTCTTTCATTTTATATTCTCAACATTCTACTTTTATTCTTTTCATCTTCTTCTACTTCATAATTTCACTTTTTTTCTTTCATGTCCTTCTTTTTCATCATTTCTCTTCATTTTTCTCTTATTTCCTTTTTTCGTAGCCGTTAAAATATAGAATATAAGAATAATCAACAATAATAAAATAATAATAAAGATATAAAAGATAATAAATAAATATGATAAAATAGAAGATATAACAAATAATAAACATATACAATAAATAATAACAAATATTTTAACACAATAAAAAAGAACAATATCAAAAAGAATAAATAAGAAAAGAGTAATAATAATAATAATATAAATGATAATCAATTATAATTTATTTCAACTTCAATTTATATTGTATTTCATTTATTATATTTTTATTTCATTCATCAATATTCAAAACAATATTTTGGTATTCTTTTATTTTTCATTAATTCCTCTTCACATCCACATTCATAAAAACATCCATATTCAAATGAAGTAATTGAAGATGGTATATTAATTGATGTTAATGAATAGCATTCTTTAAAACATTCAATTCCTATTGACGTAATTGATGTTGGTATATTAATTGATTTTAATGATGGACATCTTCTAAAACAACATTTTCCTAATTTACTAATTGATGATGGTATATTAATTGATGTTAATGATTCACATTCATCAAAACAAAACTTACCTAATTTAGTAATTGATGATGGAATAATAATTGATTTTAATGAATAACAGTTAGAAAACAACCACGTCCTAATTCACTAATTGATGATGGATAGTAATTGATGTTAATGATGAACATCCATAAAAACAATCAC